AAGCATTTTATTACAGCTTTAACATAATTTCCAGAGCAAAGATACATCTTTCAAATTTGGCTGTAAACTTTTAGGTTCACAGTTGAATTAATTCAGTTTTGCAATATTGTACTAAGTAAAAACCCTATAAGACATAAAACTGAATGAAGTTTTAGCCTTTAACAAAGATCTCCATTTCATTTTAAAATATACTGTATCATACAGAAAAACTTATTTTTAATGCAACTAACACATTGATTTTTAAATGACAGTAGTGATCAACTCTTAACATAAAAGAATTTCTGTAATCATCTGTGGACTTTTATTGAAAAGAGATACGACAAACTCAAGGAATTTGAACTTACTTTGTGTGTGTGTGTGTGTGTGTGTGTGTGTGTAGGCCAGAGATCAACATGCATCTTTTCTTTTTAAATTTTCTTTTCATTTTATTATTATTATTGTTATTATTATTTTGGTCTTTTTGAAACAGGGTCTCCCTGTAGCTCCAGCTGGCCTGGAACTCCCTATATAAACCAGGCTGGCCTTGAACTCACAGAGATCTGCCTGCTGCCTCCCACGTGATGGGATTAAAGGCATGAGCCACCATGCCCAGCTGATATCTAGTATCTTAGTCACTTCTCCAACCTTATTTTTTGAGACAGGGTCTCTCACCGAAACTGGGGCTCACTGATTGACTAGACTGGCTAACTAGCAAGCCTCAGGGATACTCGTGTCTCCATTCCCCAGCAGTGGTAATACAGATACATGCCACACCCAACTTTTTATGTGGATGCTAGAGACCCAAACTCTGCTCCTCATTCTTACATGGTAAGTGCTTTACCAACTGTGCCCTCTAGCCAGCCCTGAACCTGCTTTTTGGTAGTATTTTATTTATTTTTTATTTATTTATTTATATTTATTCTCACAGAGATCCGCCTGCCTTTGCCTCCCAAGTGCTGGGACTACAGGTGTGTGCCACCACGCCCGGCAGTATTTTGTTTTTTTATGTGTATGAGTGTGTTGTCTACATGTATGTAAGAGCACCTGTGTCATGAAATGCCCATGTAGGTCAGAAGAGGGCATCAGAGCCCCTGGAACTGGAGTTACAGACAGTTGTTAGCTGCCGTCTAGGTGCTGGGAATCAAGCCCGGGTCCTCTGCAAGAACAGCCAGTGCTCTTAACTGCTGAGCCATCTCTGAAATGCCCGGTGGCATTTTCTTTTTAAATATATTTATTATTTGGCAGGGTGTGGTGGGGCACACCTTTAATCCCAGCACTTGGGAGGTAGAGACCCGTGTATCTCTGTGAGTTCAAGGCCAACCTGGCCTACATATCTAGTTCCAGGTCAGCTGGGGTTACAGAGAGACCTTGTCTCAAAAAAAGACTCCTCCCCCAAATTTTATTTTTATCATATGAGTGTATTACCTGCATGTATGGTGTCGTTAAAATGCCTGTGGAGGTCAGAAGAGGGCATCAGATCCCCTAGAATTGGACTTACAGATGGTTGTTAACTACCATGCGGATACTGGAACTCAAAGTGGGATCCTCTGCAAGGGCAGCCGGTGATCCTAACAGCTTGAGCCATCTCTCCAGCCCCCAACATTTTCATTTCATGGAATAGTTGAATTAAATATTCTATATTCAAATTTCAGAGATAACCATTGTACTGGCCTCTCAAACCATACATTTCACCTGGTTGTATCTCTTTCTTTCACCTAACAAACTTGCTGTCTTTTTTACCTGATCTGCTGGAGGAAACAGGCTATTAGAATTTTCCACATTCTGATTCTTTCCCTAATACTTCCTTTTACCATCTTTTAACTTGTTTCTCTACTTATAAAACAGACCAGACTGAAAGCCTTTATTAATCTCCCAGTCTCTCTCCTCTCTCTCTCTCTCCCTTTCTCGCGCGCGTGTGTGTGTGTGTGTGTGTGTGTGTGTGTGTGTGTGTTTTACTAAGGATTGAACCCAGGTCTTCACACATGCTGCAAACATTCTACCACTGAGCCATGTCCCCAGAGCCCCCCTTTTTGGGGGAGAACACATTAGAATTTAGAGATGAGGTAGGACTTTTCCCATTGTTCCAAAGGGAAAGCACATAATACTGGTAGACCCATCATTTGTGGCTAGAGTTTACCCCTGCAGTCAGAAGTCACCTGCGTGGTATTTCTTTGGTAATATATCCATAAATCAGTTATTAGTTAAAACTTGGCAATGGTGTTTGTAAACAGACTTATGTTTTCAAAGTACTTGGAGTTGGTGGTAAGAACTGAGAGGGAAATCAGAATCAGAACATAAAGCCAGAAATCAAGAAAACCTGGGTCTTATTCTGACTGTACCCTGAATTTACCAAGGCTTTGGGTATATCCCCGTCTTGTTCCATCCCTAGGCAATAGTCCTAACCTGTAAACTGGGGGTGATGGCATCTCCCTAGTTCACATAGCTTCAGTAAGAAAGAGTAAGAAACAGAGCTGGAAGTGAGACACAATTTGTTATCTCTCTATTCCCTCCATACTCTGCATATGCTAATGAGATTTCTTTCTCTTTGTGGGGTCATTGAGACTCTCTGACTTCTGTTCTTTCAGATTATTTAAGGAAACTTCCTCAAAAAACAAAACTGAAGAGAAAGCGGATTAAGGAAAGCCCAGAAACTCCCAAGAGCTCCCCATAAGAAGACCCATAAGGAGAGAGGCTAGCCCTCCCTGATTCCCTGGGCACTCGTCCAGCCTCTGAATCAAAGGGTTGCTCAGTTTTTAATTATAAATAAATGAGTTGGGAAATAATAATCCTTTAGACAATTGTATTTTACTTGGATAACCTTCATTATCTTCTTTGATGTTTTGTGTGTATTTGTGTGTCTGAAAGTGTGTATGTGTAGGTATGCAGAGGGAAGAAGCAGGCATCAGAACCCTTGGAGCTGGGGTTACAGGTGTTTGTGAGCCCTGAGGTGGGTGCTGGGATCAGAACGCTGATTCTTTAATAGAGCAGTAAACACTCAACTGGTAAGCCATTGCTCCAGTCCTACTTTCATTCATCTCTCATTTGCTTAAAAAATACTCAGACTCAGGCGTGATGGCACATACCTTTAGTCCCAGAGGCAGGCAGATCTCTGTGAGATCAAGGCCAGTCTGGTCTACATAGTGAATTTCAGGTCAGCTGGGGCTACAGGGAGACCCTGTCTCAAAAAAAAAAAACCCCAGACAAACAAAAAAAGGAAACTTGGAGCCACTTCCTAAATAGCAGGTACCTCACTTATCCACAGATATTCAAATAGATGCAGTCCAGTAGGGGAGACAGACATGTGAGGGGACTTTGCAGTAAGGTAAATGCAGTGACCAATGACTGGGGCAGGCTTGAGGGAGGAAATGAAGGAGCTGATGGGTGTTAGCCATAGGAAAGCAAAGGATGGAGGAGGGAAGTGGGCCACAGTCTTACGGCTGTCTAAATCATCTGAACTTGGTCTTGTGGATAACTTGGGGCAGGCAGTGGCAAGGATGGAGAGAGGCTAGAATCAGGACACCAAACAAACAAACAACCCCCCCCCCCAAAATCTAATAGTCTTAGTAGATTGGTGCATCAGGCCACTGGTCAAAATTGGCAACCTACCACTGTATCTAGTTTTCATCAATGGATTTCTACTTGTTGTTTAATGACATTTAAAAAAATATTAGTTGCCTGGGCTGGAGACAAGGCTAAGAGGTTAAGAACACTGGCTGTTCTTGCCAAAGACCTGGGTTCGAATCCTAGCACCCACATGGCAGCTAACAACTGTCTGTAACTCCAGTTCCAGGATATCCAATGGCCTCTTCTGTCCTCTGCAGACATTGCATGACATGGGTGCACTCACATACATGCAGGCAATATATGTGTACATGCAAAATAAAAATATTAAAAAAATATTATTTGCCAATGTTAAAAGTATGTTATGGGTTGGGGATTTAGCTCAGTGGTAGAGCGCTTGCCTAGCAAGTGCAAGACCTTGGGTTTGGTCCTCAGCTCTGAAAAAAAAAAAAGTATGTTATTTCCCATTAAAAACATCAAATTTCTGGCTTCGAATAAAAACTGCCTACATTTGGGCCTGTATTCCTATGGAACAAAAACTGGCTAGACTGAGGAGCAGTTGTATCAGCTTCACTGATATGCTTCCTAGTTCACCACAGTCTTCTCCCTCCCTATTGCCTCACACAGTGGCCTTCCGCACCCACCTCTACAACTCTGTGGCCTTTAGTACTTGCTGTCCCCAAAGTAGACAAAGCCAATGCAGATGAACAGAAAAGAGAGAATCGTGAGTTTATAACATTATGTAAGGTAAAACTATTTAATTTTTTATTAGTATTTATTATGTGGGTGTACATGTGTGGGTCACACTCATATGGTGTACATGTGGAGATTACAGGACAACTTGAGGGAGTCGGGTCTCTCCTCCCATCATATGGACCTAGGGATCCAACTCGGGTCATCAGTGGCGAGCACCCTTACCTGCTGAGTCATCTCACCCATCCTATTTTATTTTCATAGTTCTGGAGATCAAATCTATGACCTCATACATGCTAGACGAGCCTTCTACCACTGCACATTACACCCTCAGAAGTCAATTGATAGATTTTGTTCTTTCTTTCTTTCTTTCTTTCTTTCCTTCCTTCCTTCCTTCCTTCCTTCCTTCCTTCCTTCCTTCCTTCCTTCTTTC